CTATGATTTCCCGTCACCTTCCAAATGGCATCTGTAAGCCCATTCTCGACATCACCAATCAGTGATACTTCATGCGAGTGCAAATTTATGGGCACTCTAGTGTTCAATCATCTTCCGCCTTCAGATCACGAAGGGCAGATCAACCAATCTACATCCTCAGGCTTACGAAGATTGAACAAGGGCAACTGTTGTACCCCAAAATTTGCCCTCCCATTTCTCAGAGATTCATTCTGGACTCTCAATTTTGCTTCTATCAAGTTCCAAGTCTTGAATCATCACTTTTTAAGGAAATCATCCATAAGGGCAAAATGGTCAAAAGTACATTGAAAAAGTCAAACTTTGACTTTTAAATCAAAATCAAGTTCCAAGAATCATATTCCATTAAGGCATGAAATTGGTTCGTCAAAAATCAGAAGTCAGAAGTTACTTTGAAAAAATCAATTTTTTTAAACATTTAGAAAATTTTCTAAGTGTATAGAGAGTGAGATACTTCTGAACTTCTGAGATAGCCACTATACAAGTGCCGTCAGAAGTTGTAAACACGGTCCAAAACATGATGTTTCAATCAGAACATGCAGAAGCGTTGCTCTTTGGTCAGAACATAATGCTTCAGTCAAAATATGACTCTTTTTCATCTAGAGGCTATGTTCAACGCTCTGGTCAGAAGATGCCCCTTCAGCATTTGGAGGTTACGCTTCTGATATTCTGCGATCAGAACATCACCAAAACCTCGTTTAAGTAACCTGCTGCCCTGCTATGGCACAATCCTGCAACCAGCTGCCACAACACTCCAAGGTGCTGCTGATCTAGTCCACGCCTGCGTTTTTCTTGCACCAAATTAGCCTACGAGAACTGTGATTTAAAAACAAAGGGATAATATGCCAAAAATGTTTAAAAATTCATTTGTTTTTCCCCCCAAAACCACAACAAATCCATTTATAAACAGTTTGTTCCATCGCACGTTCAAAGGGTTAGTTTTTGGAGAGAGAGAGAGAGAGAGAATCACCAAAAGAAAGAAAAAGCCTTGAATCTTTGCAAATTTCCAAGAATCCGAAAAGCTAAAAATACCAAAATACCAAACCTTAGCATTTGATTCTAGCATCAAAACTCCATTGTTCCTTGACTAAAACCATCCTCACAGTTGCTGATTCATATATTAGAAGCTATTCTAACTTCTGTATTCATACTGCCATACACTCTCCATCCACCACCACCTCAAAGAGGTCAGAGTATCACCCCTTGGCTATTCCAGAAGTTGAAAACCTCCATCCTGTTGAGTACGTGAAGAAGTTGCTCAGAACGTCACCAGGGTCCAGGACCAACCTCCAGTTTACAGAATTTTTTCCAGCTGCAAGGTAAGCTTCTGCTGACTCTCATCACCTTGCTTAAGCATTATCAGATTTGCATGTTCAGAAAACACAATGTAGATATCATGTTTCTGACGTTATACATATTCTGAGGTTTCATGTATTTGCCTGCCTAAGTATGGAATAAAACAATTCATAACTTCTGGAAGAAATTAGAACTCAGAATTAGGATTAATATTCATACTTGCCTCTGATTTGTAGTTCTGGTATTTCTTATTTCTGAAACACTATGACACCAGCCATAACTGTCATATGCACATCTTCTGTTTTGTGAAAAAATGACTAAGTTGCAGATGTTCTGACTAGCATGGAAAGAGAGACCAAGTTCTGCCGGTGGTATCAGAACTTCTGAAATCCACTTTGTTGCTGGTGGTATCAATACTTCTGAAACCTCCTCTGTTGCTGGTGGTATCAGAACTTCTGAAGGCTGATGTGCTCCCAGTGGACTCAAAACTTTTGACTCTACTTATGTTTTTTTTACTAACAAGAATTCTGTTTTGCAGTGCGCCAGGGTCAGAACTTCTGACCTCCCTTAATCAATAACACCCTGATTCTATTTTTACTTTTTCTCACTATCTTTTCTATCACTTTCTATTTCATTAATCAACAAAACCAAAAACATTTTTTTTTCATGCTTTACTTTATTTCTTAAAACAAAAGATCAAAAATATTTCCTTAGACAAAAAAACTTATTTCTTTTCTTAAATAAATAAGCAATTTACATTTCTTGCACATTCTGATCCATTTCGATATGGTTGTAATAATAACTTAGGATTTAATTTTACTTGCAACCCCATTCATAAATATGTATCCCCATCCCCCTAAAATGGTGTAATAGCTTAGATTCTATTTTTCGCGTTTTACTTGCTTTTCATATATTGCTAGTAAATAGGATGTATGGAAAGACATGAAAACAACAAAATAGACAACCCTAATCAAGATTAAAATGCATGCAATCAAAGACACTTTTCACACATGCACCCTTAAGGTTAACTTCACTTGTTGCCTAAAAAATGGTCATGTTATGCATGTGGGGTGTGTTAGCAAAAACAATCGAAATATAAGATCATAGTCCCTCGATGACGCTATCAAAGTTGCCTTTCGAAATGATCTTAGTCCCTAAAGAAAAATGCTAAGCCATCTCACAACATTGCTATCATGGTCACACGATGACCCAAACGCCCGTCCCTTTACATCCAACGATGGGGATTCCTACCAAATCAATGGTAAGTTAGCAACATCTAAAGAAGAGGAAAAGCATATCTAAGACCTTTCGAGTAGGTAGGTTCGCTCTCAGTTACTCGCTTGCTCACAATAAAACATTTTTTACACTTACACTTTCATATTTGGACTATTTTTCAAACAAACACTTTGTACGCGTTCTTATAGAGACGAGAACCGTTACAAAGACGTTTTCAAAATACTTTCAAAAACACACACCACAAGCCCATTCAAACAAAAGCAAGTGATCTAGCGAGTAACTAAGAGCCCATGGAAAACCATGGATGGAAAGGGTGCTAATACCATCCCTTTTCATGATCTACCCCCCGAACTCAAGACAACATCTCTAAAAGGTCTTTCCTGTGCTTTTTCACCTTTCCTTTTTGGATAAAAGAAAAGTCGGTGGCGACTCTTGCTAAATCGCAACATTTGCAAACACAAATGCAAACCTCAAGTCAGTTCTCCCACCGTATCACAACCACATAATTAAATTATGGAAAATAAATAAAATAAGTCAGGGCGTTACACTTTCCTCAAGTAAATGTATAGTGAGAATATGTTTCTCAAGGGATAGATGTTGAACGCAATGTCGTGGCAACTGGTTCGACAAGTTAATCCAGAATCACACTAATTAACATAGTCTAACTTATACAACATAGTGGAGCAGAAAAGCAATAAAGAACACAATAATTGGTAACACAATTAGATGCAACGGCACCTACGTCTAGAGGGTTGGCTTCCAACCCAAGAAAAGAAATTCACTATTAGTAATTTAGTACACTTAGTCATATATGAACATCAAGCTCATGTTGTTCAATGCCTCTTTCTAACACTACCCTATGGATTTCTACTTAGGTTTCGCCATAAATATGAGAATCTCTCTCACTTTCATCAATCACTAAACCCTAATTGATCAACTTCACTTAACAAAGTCGAATGTTGATTTACAACTCAACTAGACAAACCTACAACTATGCCAAGTTACCGAAATATAATGTAGTGTATATACAACAATAGTAAGGACTCAAACAAACCCTAGAACACTAAAGATTTTTGATATATTGTGTGCTTTTTAATATAGGTTTTGAGCTTCTTATGTAGCAAAAGTATTTTGGGCTTTTCTCCTTGGATATTTGATTTAATTTTGTCCTGAATAATTGCATAATCAGTCGGATATGATTTGTTTCATAAATCTCTCTAACAAAAAGATATGATTTGGTTTGTTTCAAATTCAAATTTAAATCTCCATTTAAATCTAAATTGACCTTCACAATTGTCCAACAAATCATATAATCATATTTCTAAATAAAAGTAATGAAATCTACTTGAATTTTCAATAGAAAATTCTGCCAAAATGCAACAATCTGGCCTATTGAGTAAGACCCAAATGTCACACCCACATAATGTGACATCATGTCCAGCATGTGTCATTTCTTTACCTCCATACATCTTAAGCAAGCTAGATTAATCTTGAACTCTTTGAACATTTCTCCGTGTTGTTGTTTTGTAAAATGCAGCAAATCTAAATGGTCAATCCAAAAGGAACTACAATATTCTCCTTTGGCAAATTATGGAAAAACAATTATTCAAGATATAAAATTCACTCACACCAGAATAAGTGATAACCAATAGAAGCACTGGATTATCAGAGCATACAATCAACAACAATAACCATCTTTCAATCATCAGAGTTAAGCATCAAGATTAGAAATCAGTATCATCAACAATATTAACATTCATATACTTACAAACAATCTATTCAGTCGCTTCAAACCAAACAAATAATTTATCATACAATCATTCACAGACTTAGTCATGTATGGTACTAAGTCAACACATAGTTAGTAGCATACAATCCTACCAACTAACAATTATCATCATGTAAGCATTCAAATACTTAGTCATGCGTAACACAAACAACTAGTAGTTAGTATCAAGATATTTATAATACTAATAACACAAAATGCTCACTCCAAAAGGGCTAGATGTCTTGCTCGATGTTCCAGCATATGAGCCCATCATTAGTACTTACCAGATAGTGAATACTAAATAATTACATGTTGCATGTTAGTTAGTCATGCTAACTAACATAGATCACACCACACCATACCACTACTCCCCCTTTTTGCCATAATTTGGAAAAGGGTTAGCACTTCAAACTAGGAACTAGAGGTTAGTCATGCAGAGGTTAGTGTGTTAGTACATACATAACCAGATCATGAGTAGAACAACCAGAACAATATCAAGAAATGCACAAGCATTAGATCAGTTATTCAAACCAGTATTAAGAGGCTAAAAAGTTCTTAAGAATCCAGAACAAGAACATGCCCAGATACAAGGGCCAACAAACTAAACTGAAAATAATAAACCTTCAGTCCTTAGGATTAAAAGCTCTATTCACCATTTAAGCCTTTAGTCTTCATGCCCATTTGAATCCAGGTATGTAACCCAGTCTTCATCTATATCTAAGTCACTTTGTTGCATTTGTTTTTTATTCAAAGTTTTCATCCTGGACATAAAATTTTTCCTTTTCCCAGATGTTCCAACAGATGGTCCACCATGGGTTTCCACATTAGCAGCAACAGTGGAACCACCTCCCTTGTTCTTGTTCCTCTCAACTTCAAGAAACATCTCAATAGCCTTGTCGACATTGATTCCCTTCCTAGAGTTAGTCTTCTTGGATATCTCTTGGTTCTGACTCATGTTGAATATCGCATACACTTAAAAGATAAAAGAGAGAGTTGATTTCTTAGTACCATATAAGGATATTAGAAATTTTTCTTGCTTGTATCGATTGTATAGATAAAAGAAGTGATTGAGAAAGAATAAATCACCCTAAATATACGTTCACCTAGAGAATAGGAGATAGGATTTGGCTTAATGAATATGTCATCCAATTGTTTGTCAATTGCTATGTGCTATAGATTGACCACTTTATCTTCCACGAGATCCCTAGTGAAATGGTAACGAATGTCAATGTTCTTGGTTCTAGTCTGTTGAACAATATTCTTTGATATATTTATGGCACTCATTTTGTCATAGAACAAATGTCACGATATCTTGTTTTACATTGTACTCCTTCAACATTTGTTTCATCCAGAGAAACTGGGTGAAATTGCTTCTAACAGTAATGTACTTAACTTTAGTAGTAGATAATGAGACACAATTTTACTTCCCGCTGAACCTAGAAATAAGATTGTTGCCAAGAAAGAAACATCCACCTGAAGCACTTTTATGTCATCGCCACTTCCAGCCCTATCAGAATCATAATACCCTACAAGTATGGAATTTGTATCATGAGAGTCCAAGATGCCATACTCATAAGTTCCACTTATTTACTTCAAGATCCTCTTCACTTGAGCTAGGTTACTTGCCTTAGTATTTTGTTGGAACCTAGAACACAGACCTACAACAAATGTGATATCAAGTATGCTGCCTATGAGATATAGAAAACTTCCTATCATACTTATGTAAAGGCTTTTATAAACATTAACTATACTTTCATCCTTAGAAAGCTTAAAGTGAGTTGCAACAGAAGTTCTCTTATGGCTTGCATTGTCAATACCAAACTTCTTCACTATTCTCTTAGCATACTTTCTTTGAGATAAAAAATACTATCTTTCATTTGCTTTACTTGAATACCAAGGAAATAAGTGAATTCTCCTACAAGACTCATCTCAAACTCAGACTTCATTTGTTGAACAAAATGCTTCACCGCCGTGTCAGACATCTCGCCAAAAACTGTGTTATCCACATAGATTTGGGCTATCATAAGCTTCCCTCCACCATTCTTTACAAATAGAGTTTTTTCTATACCCCTCTATTGTAACCATTATTGATCATGAATCTAGTTAATTTCTCATATCATGCTCTTGGAGCTTGTTTCAATCCATATAGAGCTTTCTTCAATTTGTACGCATGATCAGGCGGGTTAGGATCAGAGAACCCCTTAGATTTCTCAACATAAACCTCTTCATTGAGATACCCATTTTGAAAGGTACTTTTAACATCCATTTGAAAAAATCTGAATTTCATCATGCATAAAGTTCCTACTAATAGTCTAATGGGTTCCAGTCTGGTTACTGTGGAAAACGTCTCATCATAGTCTACACCTTCAATTTGAGTATATCCTTGAGTAACTAACCTTGCCTTATTCCTTGTCAAATTACCATTTTCATCATATTTGTTCTTGAAAATCAACTTGGTGCCAATGACATTCACATTTTCAGGACTAAGAATTACCTCCCATACCTTATTCCTTTTAACTAGCAAAATTCTTCTTACATAACATTGATCCATAATTCATCATTCAATGCTTCCCTGGAATTCTTAGGTTCGATCTTAGAGATAAAGCATGAGTTTTCAATACTCTCTCTGGATCTTATTACAACTCCTTCATTAAGATTTCCTATGATATTTCAATGGGATGATCCTTCTGAACTCTAATTGATGGTCCTTTGTTGATTTGAATATCATCAATATTGGTGATATCAGGCTCAATGTCGAACTCCTTGTGTAGGAGATTAACTGGGACAACAGTTTGTTGGGGACGAACCTCATATTCTTCTTATTCCTTATCTTCAGATGTGTCATCAATGACAACATTTATAGGCTCCACCGTAGCCTTGGTGCACTTGTTATAAACTCTATAAGTTCTACTGTTAGTGAAGTATACAAGGAAGTTTCTTTCATCACTATTAGTAGGATAATGATGCATGACTGGAGGTCCTACTGTTGTAGTCTATGTTTTCTGAGTAGCTAGGAATTAATGTGTGATGATAGAAATTGCTCATGTCATCATGTGAAACTTTGTTTGATGTTTGTTAGCATGTTCACCTTGTTAGGTGATGATTAACCTAGATCTTGTTAGATTTAGGGATTCCTTGTTAGGATTGTGCTTGTTAGCATGTTCACCTTGTTAGGTGATGATTGAACCTAATTCTAGTTAGATTTTGGGATTTCTTGTTAGGATTGTGCTTGTTAGCATGTTCACCTTGTTAGGTGATGATTGACCCGATTCCTGTTAGATTTAGAGATTCCTTGTTAGGATTGTGCTTGTTATCATGTTCACCTTGTTAGGTGATGATTAACCTGATTCTATTTAGATTTAGGGATTCCTTGTTAGGATTGTGCTTGTTAGCATGTTCACCTTGTTAGGTGATGATTGTCCTGATTCTAGTTAGATTTAGAGATTCATTGTTAGGATTGTGCTTGTTAGAATGTTCACCTTGTTAGGTTATGATTGACCTGATTCTATTTATATTTAGGGATTCCTTGTTAGGATTGTGCTTGTTAGCATGTTCACCTTGTTAGGTGATGATTGACCTGATTCTAGTTATATTTAGGGATTCCTTGTTAGGATTGTGCTTGTTAGCATGTTCACTTTGTTAAGTGATTATTGAGCTTGATTCTAGTTATACTTAGGTCTAAGTATTGAATAGTTTGATAACTTAGTTAAGTTTATTTCCTTAATGCATGAGATATATTTGATGTTCATCATTTGTTTGTTACCTTTGCTTTGGCTATGTTGTTACATTGTTCACTTTGTTATGCCATGCTCCCATAGGATGTTTTATTCAATCTCAGTCAGGATTCAAATCAATTAGACCCTAGGTTTTTAAACCAAGCATGAGAACATTAGGTATATTCTCCTTTGTTAATCCTAACTCTAGGACCAATTTGCATACTAACATTAGGGCTTGAGTCTCTCTTAGATTTTTCTTTCTCCTTTTGCATCCATCAAGACTAAAAATTTATTTTTCTTAATCAAATGTTGAAAACACTTAACAATAATGATGTGAACCATGCGTCACGAGACTTAAGCATTGGGGGTAAGTATGAGGGGTGCATTCACTAACCTTGTACTTTCTTTCAATCATATTCTTTAATGTGGTTCAAATCACCAAATTATTTGTCAAGGTAAAAAAGACTAAACCAATTCAAACCTTTTGCCCGGGGACTTTTTCCTTTTGAAAACCTTTTTAGGTAAGAAAATATTAATTCCTTTCTAAGACAATTGTGTGAGTCTCCGGAGGTCGAGCAACAGTAGAATGCAAGATTAGTATCTTTCATTAAAAAACACAAACAAAAAAAAACTTTTGAGCTTAATTATGGTGCTCTGATTCCTTAAAAGGAATACGTAAGCATTAGGTTGCAGGACCTAAGTGAGCGCATATATTTAAAACCTTTGTTTTCCATGTATTCTTTCTTTTACATTCATGCATTCCTTTAACTTGTAAGTTTAGATATACACACTCTTTGATTTGAACAACAAGAGTGGATCCTGTGGAGTACCACGAGTGTGAGGGGTGCTAATACCTTCCCCTTGCGTAACTGACTCCCGTACCCTTCTCTTGGTCGTAAGACCTTTTTTTCTCTTAGGTTTACTCTATGTTTTCCTTTCCCTTCTTCTGGATAAATAACATTCGGTCGAGACTTCATTGTTTGATATTTTCCTAGTTGTTTCACTAATGTAATTGGGACTTTTCATAATTGTAAAAATATGAGAAGTCGAAGTTTTACATTTTGAGAGTCTCTTGTGTTCTTGTGTTTGTAAGTCACCCTTGTTAATTTTGATACTTGTGGTAGACATAGTGTTCTCACTCAGAAGCCTTTAGTTAATGAGTTGAGTATTCTTCTTTGTTGAAGCTTTTAAGAAAAATCAAGTACTGTTCTTAGTTAAAAGTATTGACTAAGTATTGTTGATTTGAAGTGTAATATTATATTGGGTTTTCTTTTGTACCATCAATATAATTGTGATTGGTTTTAAGTCTAGTCACAAGGTTTATGGTTGTAGGTATATCACTGTGGTGATTGGAAGTGGGAGAGGAATTTCATATCTAGATGGTGATTTCTAGGTAGAAGTTTCACAAGGTAGTGATTAGGAGAGAAGTTGTAAACTGGGTCTGTTTAGGCTTTGAACTAGTACTATCATAGTAAATTTCCTTCCTGGATTGGTAGTCCCTAGAGTAGGCGACGTTGCACCAAACTAGGTTAGCAATCTACTGTGTTATTTATCATTCTGAAATTTATTTTTTAGTTTGATATTATTTTGTCTCAGGAACAGATGTCTCAACATCTGTCTTGACATCATGTTCTGATGTTAAGTCATCAGTATTAACATGTTTTACAAGTGCCAGAATTTCATAGGTGTTGTTGAGTTTGTGTTATTTCTTGAACTCAAAGAGAGTACGAATTCAAGATTTATGTTTGTTGGTTAAGTTGAGATGTCTTTGAGGGAGAAAAATCCGGTAGTTATAATGTTCTCTTCTCTGATAATGGAGAACGATGTGGCGGCTAGAGATATGCCAGTGGTGTGTGGTTTTCCTGTTGTGATTCTTGAAGATATTTATGATTTTCCACTAGAGCGTGAAGTTGAGTTCACCATAGATTTGGTACTTGGTACCAGTCCTATGTTAATGACGTTGTATAGAATGTTTGCTTCAGAGTTTAGTGAGTTGAAGAAACAATTAGAAGAATTGCTTGAGAAAAAGTTTGTTCGACCGAGTGTTTCTCCATGGGGAGTGCCGGTGATTTTGGTCAAGAAGAAAAATGGTAGCATGAGGTTGTTTGTTAACTATCAACAACTGAACAAGGTTACTTAAATTTTGTCACACATAAAATATCAGAAGTCAAGATTGATGTCTTAACAACATACAATGTCACGACATATGTTAGAACATCTGCTGACAGAACAACAACAA